CCCTCCCTCAACACGGCCACTGAAGACAAGTTACAAGCATGGACGCATTGCACACCCCTCCCCCAACCTCTCAGCTTCCATCTGTTTTGGGCCTCACCCAAATCACCCTTATTAGCCCCCCCGCCCAAAAGGAAAACAAGATCTTGAAGGAGTCAGTCTCCAAATATATTTTGGAGCCAAGTACCAATCCAGGGGGAAGACATAGTTATTACTTTGAAATATTGCAGACCAGTAGATTCCCACACACTCAGAAACCTCTTAAAAGCTTAGGTAAGAAAGCCTTTGATTACTAGAAGGGAAGGCAGTCTTCCCAACCCTCAATCCCCACTGAGAGCAGAAGATATTTTCAGTGAGAGAAGGAAAGAGAACAAGAAAAACACATAAGTAATCTATCATCCATGATGCAGGAAAACTTGATAGGCCTTGTAAAATACTAGGGAGTAAATATCACACAAATACTTTTACCACATAGCATTGTTTACAGCATGGTTTATTTATAGAGAGCTCATAGTATGTGGACAAACAGAGAAACACACAGTTTCTCATTTGGAATCATTGCAGAAAGAGTATCTGTAAGCAACTTGACAACAACTTGTGTGCACATGCACATGTGTGCATCAGAGGTGGGTAGCTCCTGGTTTGGCCAACCGGTAGTGGTAATCTGGCCTGGGTCACAGAACTGGCTGCGATCCAGGCTGGCCACGCCACCAAACCTTTTCCCCGATCTCTGTTTCCGTTGCATCTTTTTTATTAGCTTTTAAGGGTCTTAGCGCATGCGCAGAACCATTTATAGCAAACTGCGCATGCACAAGCAATGCACAGCCAGGGTGTGCACGAGTGAAGCAAGCAGCAAAGGACGCGCAAAGCGAACCGGTATTGGTTTGCGTAGCAACCCAGCCCTGGTGTGCATGATATAAATTGTGAATTAGTTGATACCTACAGCCAATCAGTCATATTCAGCCAGTCGTTGCCAGAATTTGAGCAGTGAATTGTATAAATGTACACTATATTGCCAAAATTATTCGCTCACCCATCCAAATAATCAGAATCAGGTGTTCCAATCACTTCCATGGCCACAGGTGTATAAAATCAAGTATCTAGGCATGCAAACTGTTTTTACAAACACTTATGAAAGACTGGATCTCAGGAGCTCAGTGAATTCCAGCATGAAACTGTGATAGGATGCCACCTGTGTAATAAATCCAGTCGTGAAATTTCCTCNTACTGAAGCACTTTCCTTTTTTTTATTTAATTGACTTCCCTACTTTATAAATCACCATTTACTGTGGAACCGGTGGGCGGTTAGAAAATTTTACTACTAACAGACATACAAAAGTGGGCGGTAGGTATAAAAAAGTTGACTATCCCTGTAATAAATGAATAGTTTTATCATAAATGTACTCAGGTTGCAGTTTTATACAAACTTAGGGATATTCCATTGAATCTAATGGTTATTATTTCACTGCCCACATGTGTAGGATCTGCTTGCATATGTAAAAAAGTGTCATTGTTCAATTAAATTTGCTTAAATGCTCATAAGAACAGAATTGAAAAATGCATATGGAAGGACAGGGTTCTTATTCTGAAAAGCTAACAACAAAAGCAAAAATTATTGTTAATTACTGCTCTTAATATTTTATTAAGATTTCATCCAGCAAATTTTATAACAAGATTATGATAATGACAGATTATTCCCTGCTAATGGAGCTAGTTTATGCATTCATTTAATATCAAAGGCCATAATGAATGAACATCTGTGTGGCCAGATTGATGAGGAAAATCAATTTTGTCCTGAACTGTTTCAGCAATAGTACAGACCAAATTTTCTTTTCCTCCCACATAAATTTCTCTTCTATATATAATAGTCCTCAATTTACAACCATAATTAAGCCCAAAATTTCTATTGCTAACCAAGGCAGTTAACTGAGTTCTGCCTAATTTTGTGACTTTTTTGCCATAGTTGTTAAGCAAATCACAGCAGTTAAGTGAATCATATGGTCATTAAGTGTTCACTGCAGTTAAGTGAATCATATGGTCGTTAAAAGGGGAGATTATGGGTTTGTTAATCTGTTGAAAAGACAGATGGGGTCCTCTAGTTTCTTTTGTTGTTTCTCTCTAGTTTTCTTTAGTTTCTTTGCACTTCATATTTTTCTTTCTTCTCTTTTTTCTTTATTAGATTTGTTTTTTAATGAAAAAAATCTTTAATAAACTATTTAAAAACTTCAAATTTTCAGGAAAAAATCATGCATTTTAGCAGCATACTAATAAATAAAGTCAATACTGCATATAAATAAACCACAATTCAAGCACTGTGAAGGCAAGTACTGCATTTTAGTTTGAAAACTGAGCGGATATACCGTAATCAACATGAGAAGATTGGGCAAAGATGAGGAAGACACAGGAGTGGGTGCTTCCTTTTTATAGGCAACTGAAAGGAGAAGAAGTCATAATTTGGAAGCAAGACAATCATTGAATTATACTATTTGTATCTGCTTGTTTGTCAACTGGAGAGAAAGAAAATTAGCCTTGATGGCCTTCTCATCTTTTTGTGTATTATCTGGACTTTAGGGCTAGTGTTAAGTGAAGATGATTATGGTTCTTGACTTCAAACTATTTTGTAGACAACTGGGTTACAAAACCACAAAGATGTGGAAGAGTGTCTTCTTAATTGCAGTCTTCTTGATATAATGTAGATTGAATTAATTTACTTTGTATTTCACAGGGACATTCCTGCAAATTATCTAAGCCTGTAAAAAAATGTGAACACCCTATAATTTTCTTAATATGAATTCTCCTATTAATCATTTTTAGGTTTTGACAGTTTTCAAAGTCAAACTATAGGATATGTATCTATGCTCTAAATCCCAACTCCTTATTTCCCTCAATTATCTCACCCAAATCAAAACGGAAACAGTATACCTGCCTACTTTAATCAAGTTACAGCTCTGTGTAGGAGATCTCTTACCACTACTCCCTTTTTAGTTATTAAAATCTAATAGTAAAGTGAGATTGCATGGATGCTGTTTCTCAAGTTGGGATAAAGAAGTCGTATTGTGAGAAACAATGATACAGAGAGATAGAAACAAGGACATTTTGGCAACAACAGAACTGATTGGCGGTCACTTCAAAAGCTGGACAAACAAGCTGAAAGATAGGTCCAAAGGAAGTCCTTGTGGAATTTAGTCCTTAGATGATGTTATCATTTGTCTAAAGTTCTCATTTGAATGGACCATAGATCCTTTGGTCAGCATTAGTTATGGTAAATTATAAGAATGTCCAGCAGCCCCCATTTACACAATATGCTTTACTGAGTCATGTCTGCTCCCCTAGTCAGCCCAGCCACACAAATAGCTGTCCCAGGAGAGTTAACTAACTCTTATCTATTCCATGATTAGCATGAACAGCATCTATCTTTTCTCTATTTTCATTCTGCCTCCAGCCAACCATGATTGGAGAGGAAGGAATGGGAGAAAAAGTGAGAGTAGAAGTGGAATGGTGTTGATCATATCATTTAAAAATCATTCTGACATCTGTTGTGCTATTTGGTAGATTGTAAAACTAGTCTTGCCATGTTGTGTGTTGCTGACGCATGGAGATTAGTCTGTGGAGTGGGAGAGGTAATGACTGAAATGCCCATGTCACATAAATCCTGCCAACAGATTCCAAGATCCAGATGTTGGAAATAAAGAACAAAGCAATCTTCAGGACTTGGTTGTAGCTGACTGGAGGTAGAAAATCTTCACTCTGTCAAATGTTACTGGACTAATTTATCCATTTAAATCAGCTTGACCAGTAGCCAAGGGTGAAAATGAAAGTTAAAACCTAACTTTTGGAGAGTAAGAGGTTTCTGCCTCTGGGCCAGAGATTGAGTCTGATTCAACAAGGTGCTTGCTTTGTCAATACTGACATATCAGGAGCTCATCATGAAATGTTAGGTCATCTTTAGAAAAAATGTTAGGTCATCTTTAGAAAAAAATTCCTTTAAAGGAAGAAAAAGTATTTTGAAAGTGTTGATACAATCATTTAAAAAAAAAACCTGTTTTGTTTTACAGCATGGTTGCACAATTTTCTCTGCCCTTGTAGTTGGATCACTCTTCAAAAGTGTATATGACCAAACAAAAAGGTATGGCTTGGACTAAAACTAAAGTTAATTAAATACAGTTGAAATTATTCTTTTTCCCTTCTACATTTAACACTTTTTCCTTTCAGTCACATACAAAGTTACAACTTGGTCAATAACTTTTGGATTTGCTCAAGGAGTGGTTTGATTGCCCAATTTATAAGGTTTACTCTGTGGTGGAACATTACTTAAACATTTACTCTGCTAGTTTTTGCTACAATACTTCAGTCCAAATATCATCAAAGGTTCTAATCGGCTCTCCTCCCTTAAGTCAGGGTTTCTTTATTGATATTTCTAGAACTCTCCTTAGAAATGGAGGAAGGGACCAGATTCAAATCTCTGTCACTCAACCAAATGCACGCAGAAATAGGGCTGAATCAAAAAGAGTTTTAACCGAAGAAGCACCTCGGTGGATTTTTTAAAAACTTGTATCTTGGACACTAAACTTTCGGGATGTCTTGAGTGTCGATGCTCTCTGCTTAGTGCAAGAGTAAGGAAGAGAGAAATAACCCCATCGCTTTCCTACAAATCCCATGCGTTCGTCACCACGGATCTCACTCCAAAGCATCCAGCCAGCCGACTTACAACTCCGAGGAAACATAGACAGCCCAGAAGAAAAACTCGCCCTCCCTCCTCGCTGAACAGATGAAGTAGTTCAGACGTCACATGTGTTATAAGGGGAAGGCCAAGGGGGGCGCGCTCTCAAAACAACCTATAGAAGCTGCCGCAAGTTGCGATTGGCACTCGAGAGATGCAATGGGGCTTCCCGGTGGCCCTGGAAAGTGAACTTTGGGCAACTCTGTTTAGCCAATGAGGTCACTCAGGAGGCAGGGCTGAGCGCTGTCTCTTGCTCTCCCCCCCTCCCTGCTCGGAGTGTGCAAAGCTTAGGTTGCGGTCTGGCCAAGGGATCTGCCTTCTTCGCTCTCGAGCTTGCCGCCGCTGTGTGGTAGCTGTGCCTCGGCAGGGAGCTTTCGAGCTTTAGCAGCGCCGAAGAGGAGGAGGGAAGGGCGGGAGAAGAAGAAGAAGCCGCGTCGGCGAAAGCAGCTTCAGAAGCACCCGCGAAGCAAGGACAGCAGCCACGCAGGGATGGATCACTATGACTCCCAGCAGACCAATGACTATAGGCAGCCGGAAGAAGACTGGGACAGGGATCTCCTCTTGGATCCAGCCTGGGAGAAGCAGCAGAGAAAGGTAAACCAGCATTTTATATTTTATTTTCTTTATTGGCTTTCGGCCCGAGCGGGGCGGGGAAGACACCTTGCCAGAGGCTGCTGGAGAACTCTTTCCGAAGAGCGTGGTTTGGGAACCGGGAGGGCGAGATTGGAGCGGGCGGGCGAGCGCACATGCTCCCCGGCCGTCTCTTTCCCACTGCCCGCCTTTTCCCACGGAGCCTGTGGACGCGGCTGCTGGCTATACAGGTGGCCTGGAGAGAAGCTCCGAACCTCCTGGCGTGGACCTGGCGTTGGAGATCCACGTTTCCAAAGCGTATTATTTTACTCCTCTCCCATTTTCTGGTGTGGGGGGACGACAACGACGAGAAGCGGGTGATAGCCACTTGAGGAATATTTGTATCCCCGGGAGATCTGCTCTTCCCCGCCCCTTACCTCCCTTACCACCCGTGGGAGAGAGTGCTAATGATAACGATTCCCCTCCCTCTGTTTCTGCGGGCTTGGGGGCGGGGGGGGGAAAGGTAATTGCAGAGCCTGGACAGAAGTTAGGAGGCTGACTCGCTACAATAAGCGGCGACCATTATTTGGAGGAATAAAAAGCGTAGCCGTGCGGTCGAGATTCGCTCTTGCAGAACCTGCATCATCTCCCCCCCCCTCCAAATTAATAAAAAAAGCCTTTTAAACATTCTTATTCCTAAAGGCAAAAAAAAAAAAAAGCAGCATGAGGCTTGCTGGAGAACGGAGCGGAGGTGACGTGCGAGGGGGAGGCGGGGTGCCGTGGTGGGGGGAGATGTTGCTGAAATAATTCGATCTATCAGGAAATCGGAGGTGGTGGTGGGGAGGTCAGTGGGAAGCCTTTGCCGGCCCGACGCCAGCGGTAGCTCTAAAGTTGCTTTCCTTTCTACTGAAGCAACAGATGTTTCCCTTGCTTAACATCGGGGAGACTTGACTGGCAGGCTCTGCTGGCCCCTCCGGCGTTTCGCAAGGCAACCGACAAAAGCCACTTTCCCGGAGAGTGAGGGTGGGGGGCTGTTGGAAGAGGGAAGTGGCTGCCGTTTACCGCTTGCCGCTTTCGGAGTCGTTTTGAGGCTGGCCTCTTTGCACACAGAAGCCAGGAAAGGGCGCAACTAACGCGTGTCCTTGCCACAAAGTGTCATTGAAACTGCAATACTTTCCCCCCCCCCCCAACACCGAAGGCAATTTATACAGATCGATGTAAAGAGGAGACAGGAGGAGGTAAAGCGAAAGTAGAGTTCGTTAGCGAGTCACTTCCTCACACCCCCCCCCACGCCTTCCTCCTTAAAACCCCTGGGGAATACAGCTCTTCTCCCAGCCCCCCTTAGGAATTTGATCTTTAGGTCATCGGAAAACCCGCCTAGGTACATCCCTGTGAGGAAGGATGCCCAGGGCTGATGGATGGATGGATTGGCCAAGCGCAGTCGGGGCAGCACCCATGCTCGCCCTGCCCTAGAGATAGCCCTTCACCAGCGGGATCAGTTTTGAATGGTGCGGTTTAGGGCTGGGCTTGTGCAAAACTCATGTCCAAAAATGGTAACATTCGTCCCATTTTTAAATTTAAGGAGGAGGCGGAGGAGGGAGGGAGGGAGGTTAGGAGGCTTCTTTCTTCTTTTCCCTCCCCCCCATCCCCAATAACCAAAGACATCCTGTATTAGCTCACTCTGGAATCCTAAGCTCTTAAACACTTCCCTTTAGTCATTTGTCAGTGAAGTGCAATTAGAAAAGGGGGAGGGGAGGAGGGAGATTTGACAAAGTTGTCTCCTAGCCATGTGGCACATGGAGATCAGCCTTTTTCTGTCAGACTTGAGTTTTATACCCCTTTTTGTCATATAAGAGAAATTAGGTGGGGAGAGGTGGGGTGCCTGGGAGAATGAAAGGAATACCTTATATTTTAAAAGAAAGCTTTCATTACAAGGAGCTCTGAATGGAAGTAGAAAACTCAAGTCTTGAAAAACATAGCAATTAAAGAATAGTCTGTTATTCCCATTGTCTAATGATAAACGGGAGGAGAGATA